ACCTTAACCTTTGCTCTGCTTAATGCGAAACCAAAAGTTTTCTTGCGTGTCATCTCGCCTTTCTTCTTAGCACGGAACACTACAGGTAAACTTTGAAGGTCACTGAACAGCATATGCCAAAAAAGTTAGCATCTTCGACGCCTGACATTCACGATCATTTTTCTACTCGCGCAACATTAAATTAAACAGCTAGAACGACGTTAAAATGCGTACCTCAGCGTTGATTATGATACATAATGAACGTTAAATAGCAGGATCACGCAAAGAAAGCCTCTTTTATCTTCCGGATACCTGTGGCCTCAGAAGATGCGGGTATTAAGAAAATGAGGTTGGCCCTGTTAGACAGACTGGTTGAACTTACGTCAGTTACTCTATCCCAATTATTTTCTCGTGTGGGAGCCGAAACAAGACAGACATTGATCAGAAGGCCAGCATTCAGTATGAAGAAGCAATGTAAAAGCATATCTGCTTTCGGAAAAGAATGCTTCCTTCTACGATACAGTAACTGATACCTAACAGTAAAAATGTTAAAAAGCTGCAGAAGCAGGCATAGAAGAAGAAGAAGCATAGGCATTTACAGACAAAGGCACGGCGCCATAATATATTGTTAACCTGTGTGTCAGATTATGCGAATCAAAACAATCTCTGCGTTCCAGTAAAATGTATGTAGGCATGTTTAACCATCGAGTTTACACATTCATGAACTGAGTAATACTTCTGTAACACTATCGTCCGTAACATGACCAAGTTGCCATTTGTGTAGCAGATATGAAGTTTATCCACAAGGGTCATTATGAGCGATAAATTCATCCTTCTTCTAGACGGAGGACCATGCCATTCAAATTTGGACCACGCTTTTACGTAGGATTTCTTTAGACTTTGGTCATCCAGGTGAAACAAAAGATATGAGCACTTGTTAAACGCGTAGCCACGTTTCATGAACGACTGGATGCAGATTTTTTTCTTTCTCTGTGGTAAGTCCATGGCAGACTTCTTCTGGTAATAGCCGATGTCCATTTAGCAGAAATGCAGCACCGCTATTAAATAAAAATTTTTTCTGGTCTACCTTGATGCTATCCATAACGAAATCAGAAGACGAACTCGAGTCGAAAGATGTCTCCTATCGTTTGAATTTTCCACCGTTCTAGCACTTGACAAGTTATCCAATGTTCAGATTGTGGAATGATGAAAATGTGAACAGCCGCTGCTTACATGGTTGAATCATTCAGTCAGTAACAGGTGTTCATCGATAAAAAGCACCCACCAAATCTACTCTGCATTGGCAAGCGGCTTTGGTAGGGTGCTTAGCTCTGGGCCACTCGGTACTCGGTCTTTGAACCTGATACCTCAGATGACGACGACAAG